TTTGTGATAATTATCTATGTTTGCCGCTACCTGTTATGTTTATGTGCTAGCATGATATGTTATATGTGATAGTGGTAGTAGGAGGGGAATAGTCCCCGTAACCGGTTGAGATAAACCGGAAGGGGTAGGTCGGACACCCGGTATGTCTGACAGGGGTAGGTTAGGCACCCCGATATGCCTAGCAGGGGTAGGTCGGGCACCCAGATATGCCTGGCATGGGGTAGGCCGGGCACCCCGGTATGCCTGACAGTATGTGTTACGTATGGTATGTGGTATGATGGGGGAACTCACTAAACTTTGTGCTTACGGTTTATAGTTTTGGTTTCAGGTACCTCTTCAGCGAAGGGGAAGGAGCCGGCGCGGTAGTGGCACATCACACACACACACTGGATCCCGCACTATGAGACTCCTGGAGATTGTACTCTGATGTTCATTACTTTTGGTGATTTGGTTTTGAGATACGATATTATGGTTTTGTGGATTGATGTAACAATGACGGTGTTTTGGTTAACTATTTTATAAACCACTTAATTAAAATGAAATTTTTGGCCTTGAAAATTGGGATGTTACAAGTTGGTATCAGAGCCTTGGTTTGAGGGATTCGGGCACGCTCTCGAGTGTGTCTGGACTCAAACTAAGGACTTGGGATAGAAATTTTCAAAAGTAAAATCAATATATATATATATATATATATATATATATATATATATATATATATAAAGGAATTTGAAAAGAAGTTTGAAAAGAGAAAAAGGAACTTTGAAAAAGAACAAGATGTGTGATGTGCGCGACCGGTCGAGCTTAAGTAAGTTTTCCCCAAGATACCCATACATGTTATGTTATGATATGATATGACTATGAGAATTGCATGCTAGATTAGGGCTAGAGGATCTAGGAAGGATGCCTTATATGCCTACTGTATATGTATGAGAAATGCATGCTAGATTAGGGCTAAGGATCTAGGAAGATGCCTGATATGCCTGCTATATGTGCTTTTGAGCTGCGAGATGTTACTGATTAGTCAGTTATATGTTAGCTTGGATAGAGTACGATTGGATTGGGTTACTCAATGCCCGAATGCTGTTGCTTTGTGCTTCGGGAGTCCTAGTTATCTTTAGCTAACTAGTAAACGAATACGTTAAGTTACATATTGCGAGGACGAAATAATTCCAGAAGGTTAGGTCTAGCCCTACTGCGCAGCTCTTGTTTGAGTCCAACCGTTGTGGGGTAGGACCTTTCATTTGAAGAATTATCTGGTCTTAGTACTATGTAGTGGTATTCGCGAGCTAGTTAGGTAAAGGTAGCAGGGGTTCCTTATGCAGCTGATGCGCGGAGAGTATGTCGGAGAGTTACCCTAGGGTAAGCCTAGGACGAGATTGGAAAAGAGTGCAACAGTAGTAGAAGGGACTTGGTGAAGTCGAAGCAATCCTTGAGGAAAGTACGGATAGATGTGGAAGGTAGTATGGGCCCGTACTACTGAAAGCATAGGATCCGTACTCGAATCGAGGAGGACCGAGATGGAACCAGGAAACTTGTAGAAGTATATGAAACCTCCCAAGGTTTATGTATGATTCTGACGGTTATGTGTTATGTTTCAGAATGGTGATGATCACACGACACGGAGGAGGAGGTTCAGGGTCAGGATCCGATTCAGTATCAGGTTCGGGAGCAGGTACCGAGCCAGTTGATGAGGGACTACGTGAGTTCATTGCTTCTGAGATCACGAGAGGTATCCTTGAGTCGACCCCGGTGATTTTCGGGTCGATCAAGGAAGGGATCATTGAGTTGATGGAGGATCGCCTCAGGGCGTTCAGGAGTGACATGGCACACAGCGAGTCAGGGTCACGCACACTGTCCTTCAAGGACTTTAGGGGCAGTGGTGCGCCGAATTTCCATGGGGCTAAGGACCCCATCGCAGCCAGGAGATGGACTACAGACATTGAGTCTGCACAGTTGACGAGCTTCTGCCCTGAGGGGTCGAAGGCGCGATATGCGACAGGTTGTTTGAGAGATAGGGCCAGAGATTGGTGGGAGTCGGTTGGTGACTCGTTGGTAGCCTCGGCTATTGAGGCTATGACTTGGTCGGATTTTGTGACCAGGTTCAGAGCTGAGTTTGCGCCGGCTGTGGAGCTTCAGTAGTTGGCCAGGGAGTTTCTCGATATGAGGCAGACGACAGAGACGGTGGCGGAGATTACTGCCAAGTTCCGGGAGAGGGCATTGTTGGTGCCCCAGTATGCAGGAGATGAGGATATGCGGAGGACCCGCTATCTTGATATGTTACGAGCTGATATCAGGGAGCATGTTAGCTACTCAGCTTGCCCGACCCTGGATTTTATGATCGCTAGGGCGAGGGAGAGGGAGATTGATTTGGAGCACATCCGGAAGAGGAAGGCGGCAGAGGGACAGACGACTGGGGTTTCGGGGAAGAAACCCAAGGGATCCGACGTTAGGTCGAAGGTGTTGGATTAATGTCTAAGTCCATAACTATATTTGGTATGTACTTGACCCGACCCGGCATGGTCCATTTGGGTTGCACTTCACCTACACAATTTATATGGATAGTCTTTTGAGAATAGTATATTTATGATTTATATTAATATATTATAAGTTCTAATATATTAATATGGAATCATATTATTTAATTAGTATTGATCAAGAATTAATTTAGAATTAATTAAGTGATCAAAAAGAACTAATTAAATATGGACTCTTATATATATGGGATGGGCCAAGTTCATTTAGGTTGGGCTAAGCTTTCATGGATGGTCCATGGAGCTTTTAACCCATGAATCCTATGTAAATGAAAGGTCATGGGTATTAGGTTTTACATGGATGTAACCCTAATCCTCCATAATATATAAAGGGGTCCTTGGCTCACAAAATTGGCACAAGTGTGTGAAAATAAGAGTGGGCCGATTTTAGTGTGCATACATATTCTCTCAAGTTCTTCCAAGGTGTTTTGGTGATTTGTGATTCCATTTGAGGCTTCCACACTATTGGGGCTAAGCTCTTAAAGCTTGAAGACATCAAGCTACATCAAAAGGTATGTCATCTAACTAGAACTTTGTAGTATAGATGCTTCATAATATGCTAGTTAGGATGAAACCTTGGAATAGTTAATATTTGCATGTATAATAGAGAAAACATAGATCCAAGGTTTATAGGGTTGCATGTACACCATAGGAGTGTTAGAATGCTCAAAACCCAACAGAAGGGCCATCAGGGCCGGAGCAGCTGCGGAAATTGCGGCAAGCCGCACGAGGGGGTGTGTAGACTATGATCATCAGGCTGCTACAAGTGCGGCAAGACAGGACACTTCAGTAGGGATTGTACCGCCCCTACGCCCACTTTCCAGACATCAGAGTTGCTGTGTTTCCCCTGCAACCAGCGAGGCCATAAAAAGGCCAATTGCCCTCAGTTGATAGCAGCATCGCCAGTGAAGGCGCCAGCTCCAGTGACCCTGCGGATTACTGATGGCCGACAGGGCAAGTCAGAGGCTCCAGTGGTGAGGAGCCGAGCCTTCCAGTTGACTACCGAGGAGGCACGCGCCGCACCCGATGTGGCGACGGGTAAGATTTCTCCTCCATATCTTTTATTTTATGTTGCTTATGATATTGATGTGCCATATGCTATGTCTTGTTTAGGATCGTCCCATGTGAACGGTATCCTAATTCAGGTGTTGTTTGATTCGGGTGCTACCCGATCATTTGTCTCTCTTGCGCTTAGCAAGAGGTTCCATGAGTCTTCAGGCATGTTGGATTGCCCTCTAGAGGTCGAGATTGCGGATGATCGACCAGTGCGAGCGTCAAAGGTTTTCAGGGACTGTGTTTTGAGGTTGTTCGAGGAGCGTTATTTGGTAGACTTGGTTCCCATTCCGTTGCGTGGGAACAAGGTGATTATAGGCATGGATTGGTTGAGCCCCAACGGAGCTGTGATCGACTGCGCGTAGTAGTTGGTTTGGATTAGGACCCTCAAGTGGGGGAGAGCTGGTGGTTCAGGGCGAGAGGCCACAGCGCGGACCAGCACTATGTTCAGCAGCGAGGGCTAGACGCTATCTTCAACAGGGCTGCGCTGGGTATGTCGCCTATGTTATGGATACCCGGGAGACGGGTAAGACGATGATGAGCGATGTTCCAGTGGTGCGAGATTACGCGGATGTATTCCCAGAGGAGCTGCCTGGGATACCTCCGGAGCGACAGGTGGAGTTCAGGATCGACCTAGTCCCTGGTGCGGATCCGATGACCAAGGCACCATATCGGTTGGCTCCTCCCGAGATGCAGGAGTTGTCTACACAGCTGCAGGAGCTGTTAGACAAGGGATTTATCAGGCCGAGTAGTTCGCCTTGGGGAGCCCCGATCCTGTTTGTCAAGAAGAAGGACGGGTCGCATCGTATGTGCATAGATTACCGGGAGCTGAACAAGGTAACGGTGAAGAACCGTTACCCACTTCCGATACAAAAAACAGATATTTCATAACTAGATATTTCATATACAAAAAACTTTAAAAAAAAAGTTTTTATATAGAAAATATAAGATTTTTATGTGAAAATACGTTTTTTTTGTATAAATATGATTTTATAAGGAAAAAACATATTAGAAACAATTTTTTGAGAAAAAAAGTTGTAAAAAAAACTAAAGTTAGGATGAATTCATAATAAAATTCTAAAATTTGGACAAAAAGGGTAAAGTTTGGGCCAAATTTGTAACAAAATTTAAAATCTGGGCCAAAATTATAAATTTTGGATCAAATTTGTAATAAATTTTGAAATCTGGGCTAAAAATGTAATTTTTGAAAGTTGGATGACCTGTTGACCGGGTCAAAAGGTTAAATTGAATACGATTACTGGTATTTCAGACTTAATTGAATAAAAAAAATATATAAAGACTAAATCGATTATGAGACCAATATATATGGACTTTATTGCGGTTTTTGATTTGAAAAAAGAAGTTAGATTAGTTTGTCTACAAGCATGCTAAAAATTATCAAAAGCACCCTTTCACAATTGACATTGCCACACCTTCAGGTATTACAGTGATTAGGTTGAAGCTCATGCTCATCTGCAAAATGTCGTTGATGTACTCCCTCACTTGCCCCACAATTTTCCCCGCTAAAAGAACCCTCTCCAACTCATTCATCTCTTTCTTCCATCGGAACACACCAGCGGTTACTCCACTTCATCAGAAGGTTTCCTTTACTTCTTGCTCAGGAGCCTCGGATTTGGATGACGAATCACAACTCGAAGAAGAGTCTTTTTCCGGCCGCCGACAAATAACCAATTACACCGGCGTTCGGCTCGAAGAGAGCGTTGAAGAGGTTGGAAAGACCAGGCTCGACACTTGGATTTCCACTCGGATAAATGGCATTAGCAGAGCTAGGGTTCAATCAAGCATTCGGTCAGGACTCGTCTCCGTCAATCATCGTGTTATTGTTAAGGTAAAGTTCAGTTGCTTAATTTTGAGATCAAACAAATTACGTCTCAAATTCAAACATAATTCAATGTTTTAGATTCTTAGGAGTCACTTGTGGTAACCAAATCCAAGAAAAATCACTTCGTAAAAGGTTTCATTGCAACTTCTGATTAATCGTTTTGTCTAATATCTCGATCCATAACTTTCTTTCAGACCTCACACATGATAAGACATGGCGATAAGGTTGAATGCACAATATCAGAATTGCAACCCTTAAAAGCTGAAAGCGAAGATATACCTTTAGATATTGTGTATGAAGATGAACATGTGTTGGTTGTTAATAAACCTGCACACATGGTAATCACGTCAACCTTTTTTCACTTTCTTTCAATTCATCCATGGATAAATCTCTTCTTCTGAATCATTTATTCCAGACTTATAATGAGAGAATCATATATTTTCAAATTTCATGATCAGGTTGTTCATCCAGCACCTGGAAACACTACTGGAACACTAGTAAACGGCATTCTTCATCATTGCAGTCTCCCAACCCCTTCATTTCACGATCAAGAATTAGTCTCAGATTCTGATGAATTGTCTGATATCGAGTTAGATGAATCATCCTTAAATCACACTTTTGGTACTAATGAAACATCTGTTCGACCTGGGATTGTGCATAGATTAGATAAAGGCACAAGTGGATTACTAGTTGTTGCCAAGGTAGTTCAACAAAACAACATCATTTCTTCCATTTTCATTCATCTTCTATAATTCTCTTCTAAAATAATTAATATTTTTCTTTAATTTTTTCCTTACAACAACACAGGATGAACATTCACATGCCCATTTATCTCAACAATTCAAGGAACACACCATTCAAAGGATATACATTAGTCTCACATGTGGAATTCCATTTCCGCCCTCGGGACGTGTTGATATTCCCATTGGTCGTGATTTGACCAATCGGATTCGTATGACTGCCGACACGGGACCCACCAAATGTGGAAAGTCTCGTTATGCTGCTAGTAGGTGATTTAAGTACAACTAAGGGTTGTGTACATAAGGTCTGTTACAAAATGACGATTTTACCCTTAATGATTTGATCATCAGGTACAAAGTAGTTGAGATACTTGCTGGTGGTGGGTCCGCATTGGTTGAGTGGAGGTTAGAGACGGGTCGCACCCATCAGGCATTGTTTTAACATTAATTGATATTATTTAATTCATTTTGTATAATCTCATATACGAAAATATTAATTACTTATTTTGGGCATTTGTGATAACTCTGAAATAGATTCGAGCACATGCAAAATACCTCGGGATTCCTCTAATGGGAGATGAGGTGTATGGAGGTACTAAAAACATGGCCATATCACGCCTACACCTCAAAAACTCATCAAAATTACATGGTCAACTTTCAGAGCTTGTTGCTAAAGTCAACAGACCTTGTCTCCATGCTTTGACTCTTGGGTTAGTCCATTTCAAACTAAACTCTTTTTTTTTTTTTTTTTTTTTTTTTTTTTTCTTTTTGGGAAAATTACGAGGAATAGCAACGGACTTTACTGTATTTTTTAACCCATAATAGCAACCTACTTATGATTAATAAGAAATAAAATATATTGTCTATATTGGTAAAAGATTAAAGTACGTTGCTATTTCTTATCTGATTAATTTTATTTTGTTTGTAGATTTACGCATCCTTGTACAGGAGAGAAAATGCAATTTTCATGCTTGCCTCCTATAGATTTTGCAGAAGTTTTAACTGGACTTCGGAATATAAGCACACACAAGGTAAGCTTTTAAACCTTATATTTTAAATAAATGTTTTTCTTTTCACATATTTTAAAACCCATGTATCCGGTGTTGTGTTTACAACTGGATTGCAGATGAAGGGGAGCTAAATGCTAATCAAGTTTTGGTCATTCATTTTTGGCGTTTGGGAGCAGTTGATTGAAGACATATGTTTGTTAGGGAGTGTTTGGATGGATGTGGGTTTTGAAAGTAATTATTGTGACATGAGGCACAACTAGGATAAAGATAATTTGTTGATTGAAATTGATTAATGATGATAATAGAGTTGTAGATTAGTAGTATTCTTAGATAATCAGTTTTCTTACAAATTTGTTGCTGCTTCTTTATAAATACCAAATTTGTTGAATATGGTTACAAAAATTATATTAATCCGCTTCCTATAACAAATCGTTCAAATTAGTTATATGATTATTATTTGTGTATTAACATCGCAATTGCATTACCATTTGCTATTGGTAGTGCTCTTCTAACGAACATTCTACAGAAAAAGGAATCAAAAGCCTGCCATTGCCATTGCCATGATGAATATGAATGATGATGAATGTCTTTTCAACTTTAACATGGTGGACCTTGGTTTTAACTTTTAAATGATTATGTTTCATGTCTAAAAACCTGATTTTGTATATGACAACGGCCTAGATCAATATCGACGTGTGTTTAATTTAACATATTGATATTTTCAATTAACAGAGGTCATATTTCAAATCTTAATAGTTAATTTTGTGTTGAATTCCGATTGAATAGGTGAGTTAGGCCGATTTTGGATAGCTCTAATTAAAATAACATAATTAATTGTAAAAAGCAAGTATGAAATATAATTTAGATATGATTTAACGATTTAAAGTTATAATAATCAAATTATAAGTTATTAATTTTTTATTGTCCAAGGATATTATATATGTACTTTATTTTTGCACGTACTCGGTGGTTTCGTGCAAGTTGTTTCGAACATTTGGTGCGATCAAAAGAACCACTATATGGACTATCACATTAAAGTCAAAGATATTACACTATGATTTTGGTTTTCACAACTTTTTGATTGTTATTAACAAATTCTTGAAGAACATTTTACATGTTTTCTCGTTTATTAAGTTATATTTTTTGAAAAAAAAAGATATATAATAGTGCATAAGAGATTAAAATTCTGACACAAATTTCTTTGATTTTAATATTTTATGAAATTTGTTATGTCTATAATAATGATAGGAGTTATATTTAAAAAAAAAAGTCAAAACAATTGAGAAAAATGATCAAACATCTCAAGCTGTTGTTTTCGCTATTTTGCAACCTTTTGCTATTTTGCAACCATAGTCGCCTTTTTAAAGTTAGAAACAAATGCAATAATAACAAAAGTATATTATTACCTACCCATATTTGGGTTTTGCGGAAACGTTATATTTTTCTATAAAGTAATAAAAAAATATTTTACGTATTGTTAATGTCGTCTTTTCATAAGAGGAAGATGAGAAATTACTTGTGTACTTTCTTTTATTTATTAAAATATTATATATTCTCTCTCTCATAATAATATTATACTTTTAATTTTTCATTAAAGATAATATATTCTATTAAATATATCTAACTATGATACTATACTTTAACTTTTTGTTAGGAAAATACACTTTTAAAAAAAATCTAAATACTAAAAACCTAATTATTAGCAAGTAAAAAGTATTATTTTTTATAATTTATATAAATAAAGAAATAGATTTTTTTTAAGATATGTAATAAATTACTAAAAGTGGAATGTAATGTAATGTAATGTAATAATTAATTATGCATCATGCTTCATGCATTTAACCGAAAGACATGATTGGGCCCAATTCCCCTACCGGCCGGGCCGGTGTTCAGAAATTCATAATATAAAAATTTATATTTTACAGGATTAGGATTTAATATTGCAGAAGAAGGGATCTTCGGTGCGATCGATAACAACACCGAGCAATCGTGACGACGAGTAATCACTTGTATGGAGTCATTCATGACTGCATTGATTCAATCGACGCATTGAACAGCTTTAATCTTCAAGGTACACTCTTCGTTTAATGTGTTTTGTTTTTATCTCTTTTATGTTTTTAGTGAAATTTGGGAGGTGAGGTTATGTTATAATGGAGAGCTGGATCAGCGTCAAGGAATTTGCAAAAGGATTTGTATGATAATCGTCTGTTAAAAACTGTTTCCATCTTTCATGTGTTGCATTTCGATTTCGTTCGACTGATGGTTCCTCGTTATACATCTTCGATTAGTTTTGTTTTATAATTAATCGCCATTACGGAACTCATTTGAACATTCGGAAAGCACGACGGAACCCTCATCTTCTGTCTTTCAGCTTCAGGAAGTAGCACGCGTTGACTACCTTCCTGTTGTTCTCGATTTCTCGTAATATGTTCTTTGATTTCAGCTTTTGATGGTTTACTTGAGCTTCTATTTTGTTTTATTTCAGGTTTTCGAAGCTCGATTTGAGGCCTGACAGGCTTTGGTTTCTAGATATTGAGCTACTTATCTTTCGATCTCCTATTTGGATTCGAAACTGGTTGAAATTTTGACTGACCAGAAAGGAAAGAGCCTGAGCAAAATCTGTAGAGGATAAAAGGGGGAAAAGTGTGGATCAGTTCAAAAAGTCATCTCGTAACAGTGTTATTCTCGTGAAGACTGAAAGACACTCCTCTTTTCGTTTCTTTTTCTCTCTAGGCATATTGATGTGAAGCAAAAGATTCAACATGGGAAAAACATGAGTAAAGCAAGAGAGAATTGGGAAAGGGGAAATTTCTACTCGAGCTACCAGATGATTTCCCTTTCTCTTCCACTTTAAATTCCCTCAACAAATAATGGCTGATGATCTATGCTTCTTCATTAAGGTACACTTGATTCAATCTATAGTCCTTTCTCCTTTCCTTTCTTTGGTTTCATTCAGTATCAAATATCTTGATTCTGTTCTATGTGTTCATGTCTTTATTCTTGGCTGCAAGTACAAAACAAACATTACATACCTTCAAATGCTTTGAATTACAGGATATGCTTATCGTTAGACCTCCAGTAAAGAACTCCTTGGTGTTGAGAATAAGTTTGTTAGCTTTTGTCATGGTATGTGGGGTTTTCATGTGTTCAATTGGTCTAAAGCAAATTAGCAACTTCACAAAGGCCGGTTTCATTGACATTAAAGTGGTTGACAAACCTTGCGATGTCCCCAATGTTGAAAAATGGGAGAGGCCTTATGTTCATTTCCCCAAACCCACAACTTTTAATCGGTATGCTTCAAATTTCTTTCTTTCTTTCACTCTCATTTTAGCAAATGTAAAATTACTGATATTGTTCTTTTTGGGGTATAATTAGGGCTGAATGTGCATGCAATCCTGTTCGATACTTTGTTATCTCATCAACACAAAGATCTGGGAGTGGATGGTTTGAGACATTATTAAATAGTCATATGAATGTAAGCTCAAATGGTGAGATCTTCTCAGTTAAACCAAGGAGGACAAATATGTCAACAATTGTGGACACTTTGGACAAAATTTACAATCTTGATTGGTTGACAAGTGCTTCCAAGAATGAATGCACAGCTGCAGTGGGCTTGAAGTGGATGCTTAATCAGGTGATACTTTGTTGCATCCAAACTACTTAATTTCTCATACATATGTCATATATAACTCACAATAGCAACATTTATATGTCATTTGACTTTAGGGAGTGGTTGACTTTGATTTTATTTCAGGGTTTGATGCAGAATCATGAAGCAATAGTGGAATATTTTAAAGCTAAAGGAGTTTCAATGATATTTCTTTTTAGAAGAAATCTTCTTCGTAGAAGAATCTCAATACTTGCAAATGCTTATGACCAAAGTGCTAAACCTCTAAATGGGAAACACAAATCCCACGTCCATTCACACGATGAGGTCAATTTTGTCATTTGTGTGTGTGTATGTGTGGTTTCTTTACTAAAGTATTTATTATTATAATGTTATCAGGCTAAAATTCTAGCAAGTTACAAGCCCACAATAAATACAACACTACTGATACCCGAGCTTAAACAAGCCGACAACATGGTTAAACAAGCTTTGGAATACTTCAATACCACTCGCCACATCATCCTTTACTACGAAGACATTATCAAGAACCACACTGTATGTTACCTGTTATCAGTTATCTGTTATCTGTTATCTGTTGTTATCTGATATCTGTTTGTTTGTAGGTATTGGAGGATGTGCAACGGTTTTTGAGGATACCGCAAATGGAGCTAAAGAGTAGGCAGGTGAAGATACATAAAGGTCCATTACGTGAACAGGTGGAAAATTGGGATGATATTAAAAAGGTATTAAATGGAACACTTTATGAGAGCTTTCTGCATGAGGATTATAAAGTTAGTTAAATAGTTTGTAATTGTGTATATTTTGTCTTAACTAACTCATTCTTTATTTATATCCCTTTGTTTGTCATTGGAAAAAAAACCAACAGGGTGTCTTCCCTGTTGAAATTTTGCTCTAGGTTTTCATTTTTCATATGCCTTAATATCATATTATCATCTCAATCTAATTCAACTTTTTTTTTTTAAAAAAAATGTTGTAGACTATTATTACTCTTGTAATAGAAAACTTAGTTCCCATTTTGTGTCCTGTGTACTCAACTGTAAGGTCGAGTTTGTTACATAGGATAAAACTAGACAAACTTTCTAGAACTATTTTTGATGATGTGGATGAAAAAGGTATTTACGTCTTTTTGCATAAACGAGAGATAGAGACTTGAAGCTAGTCTTTGTTCCACCTTTTTGGGTGGGGGAAGTAGTTTTTTATTTTTGTATCATTGGTATCAACTGAGAGAATACATGTCAAATACAGTATAAAATACTTGGTCATGTATAAAAAATAAAGAGTGATAAAGATTTAATGGGTGTAAATTTGACTTGGATTAAAATGAGGAAAATTATATATTGTCAATTTCTTATAGAAAAACAAAGGGATATCTCCAGAAAAGTCCCAATATTTTGGACAAATTTTTAATAAAGTCCTAAATTTTATTTTTTGAATAAAAAAGTCCTGACATTTTCACCTTTTGAATAAAAAAGCCCAAGAAACCGGCTAATTTATTCACTTTAGCCCCTTTTGACCTGTTCAGCAGGTCATGGGACCAAATTGTTAATTTTTCGAAAATAATGAGACTTTTTTGCAGATTTCGTCAAAATTTTTATATAATGTATAAACATATTTTTTTACATATCTATATCTATTTTTATGTATTTGTGTATTTTTTATGTTTTTATATGTATATATTTACGTATTTTTATGTATTTTAAATATATAAACGTATTTTTTTTACATATTTATGTGTATTTTTAACCATTTTACATATTTTTTTAATGTATTTTTATATGTTTTTTTATGTATTATGTATTTATATGTAATTCTATGTATTTTTACGTATTTATATACTTTTTAAAGCTTTTTATATAGATGTTTATGTATTTTAAATGTATAAACATATTTTTTACGTAATTATATCTATTTTTAAGTATTTTACATATTTTTTATGTATTACGTATTTATGTATTTTTTAAGTGTTATATAGATGTTTTTCTATATTTATATATTTTAAATGTATAGACGTATTGTTTTACGTATTTATATGTATTTTTTTAAGTAATTTACATATGTTTTTGTGTGTTTTTATGTGTTTTTTTTATTTATTATGTATTTATATGTATTTTTACGTAGTTATGTATTTTTTTAGTTTTCATATATAGATGTTTATGTATTTTTATGTATATTATATGATTAATTGTATTATTTTTACGTGATTAAACATTTAATATACATAAAAATACATAAACATCTATATAAGAAAACTAAAAAATTACATAAATACGCATATATATATATATATATATATATATATATATATATATATAATATATATATATATATACATAATACATAAAAACACACAAAAAATATGTAAAATACTTAAAAAATACATATAAATACGTAAAACAATACGTTTATACATTTAAAATACATAAATATACAAAACATCTATATAAAAAACTTTTAAAAAATACATAAATACGTAATACATAAAAATATGTAAATTACTTAACAATAGATATAAATACGTAAAAAATACGTTTATACACCTAAAATACATAAACATCTATATAAAAAGCTTAAAAAATACATAAATACGTAAAAATATATAAAAATACATAATACATAAAAAATAACACATAAAAATACATAAAAAAATATGTAAGATGGTTAAAAATACATATAAATAAGTAAAAAAAATACGTTTATACATTTAAAATACATAAAAATACGTAAATATATACATACAAAAACATAAAAATACAAAAATACGTAAAAATAGATATAGATATGTAAAAAAATATGTTTATACATTATATAAAAATTTTGACGAAATCTGCAAAAAATCCCATTATTTTCGAAAAATTAACAATTTGGTCTCATGACCTGCTGAATAGGTCAAAAAGGGCTAAAGCGAATAAATTAACCGGTTTCTTGGGCTTTTTTATTCAAAAGGTAAAAATGTCAGGACTTTTTTATTCAAAAAATAAAATTTAGGACTTTATTAAAAATTTGCCTAAAATATTAGGACTTTTCTGGAGATATTCCAAAAAACAAATATACATATTTTTTTGGAATTTTGTAGAGCTTTAATTGGATAAACCTTGGATATTTGTTGGAACATAAATTTAATTATTTGGAAATTGATTTGACAAGTTAAAGTTGGTTTTATACTTTATGTAAATGTGATAATAGAATCATATTTATGAAAAAGGACAATATAGGATTGTATTTATTAATAACAAGTTGAAAGTAAACACAAGAAAATAGCTATAAAAGGAGATGCTCGAATGGGTGGAATAAGTTGATGGTAAATGCAAGAAAATAGCTATAAATGGAAATGTTTGAATGGGTTAAATAAGTTGATGAGTAAATACCAGAAAATAGATATAAAAGGAAATGTTCGAATGAGTCGAATAAGTTAATAATAGGTGAAGTGTTGCCTTAGCCGCCCTTAGGTGTGTTTTCAAATTGATTATTTGAGAAAATTAAGTCATTATTTTAATAATTTGATGTTTATAATTATATTTAATATATTTTATTGTACATATAATTATGAATTATGAAATATATAATAAAAATTTGGGCTCTTCAAAATTGGATATCCCAAATTTTGGATAAGGATTTGGATATCAAAAATCCATTATCCAAAATTTATTTTCTTTGTTTAGATTTACTTAAAAAGTGTAATAAATCTGAATAAATTTAAAATCTAGTTGTATAAAGAACATAGAACAAATCTTTTAAAGCATCAAATACAATAACATGAAAATAGTTATTGGGAAGGGACGTTCTTGATGAGTAGCATTTACATATCAATATTAAAAACCAGCAACATAAAGACCATCACCCACCACCACCAAGCAAAATGTAAATTAATATAAAGAGCAAACATAAAAACCACCAACGTCAACTCCCATTAAAATCTAGATTACTCTGAATAAATATTGAAAAAGAAAACTTATAAATCCGAAAAGAAAAGCATAAAAGATGTCAACGAAGAAGATGTTCGGGAGAAGATATGTTTTTGTTGCTATAACATTGATACGGAACCCTAATCCTCTTAAGAAAACATAAATATACTAAACTAATAATTAAAAAAAATTATATATATATTTTTGGATATCTGAAATATCCGAAAATGCTATATGAATCCGAACATGAACTTCGGATATCCGAAAATCCTATATGAATCCGAACATGAACTTCGGATATCCGAATTTTCGGATAATTTTAAATCGGATTTTGTATTTTTCGGTTCGGATTTTCGGATACATTTAGTTTTGAACACCCTTAATAAAACCGATTGAGAGGTTGTCCTAATTGAATCCGAACCCATCATATTCATCTTTTGGTATTTAGCAAATAATTTAAACAATGACTTATATCAAATGACACAATATAATGAAAGTAGTAACAATGTACCATACTATATACCTCTATGGATTTTATAGATCTTAAAAAAAAGTTTTAAGTCTAATCACCTACATATAATATAATCACATCTAACATCATATCATCATTCACAATACTTACATAAAAATATATAATTATATAGGCAGGGGCATGAATATTATAGGGAGATAGGGAGAGTGAGAATAAACTGACCACGATAGTATTAACAAGATAAGTCACCTGTTATATTAATATTTTTTTTGAACGACTATATGTATTCAAAACTAGCTAGATGATAGGAAAAGCGAACAAGCTGCAATTAGTTCATGAGCGGATTTTGTAGACACCCATTCAAGTTTTTTAAATTTTTTTTTTTACGGTTCCTACTACCAAACCAATTAAACAAAAAAGAAATAGTGGAATCAAAGATAAACTCTCTTATGTGCTTCATGTTCCTAAAAACAAGCGCATTATGATATGTCCAAAAGACCTAAATCAAAATAGCACAAGACGTCTCAATGAACAATCTCCGAAAGTTTGCCACAACTTGGCCATCAATCCATTGAAACAAAGCATCAATGGAATCAAAAAGCTGGCACCATCTCATTAACCCAGTCCGCAAACTTCTGTCAAAGTTGACGAGCCAAAGAGCATTTCAAGAACAAATGCTCCACGTCCCTCATCGCAACAAATACACGAGAAAGTGACCAAATCAATCACACAACTATCAAGGTTGCAATTGGTAGGCAACCGATTATGAATAAGTCTCCAAATAAAGATGTTAACGTTAGCAATATCAAGTAACTTGATCTTTCTCAATATTATCCAAAACAACAATTAGTGTAACACCAGTCAAATTTTGGTCAAAAATAAATTGATCAATAATCGTAATTGGGATAAACCAAGTGGTAGAGTTTGTAACAAGGTTTCCAAAAACATAAAGAACACTAAAATCCGAGTTATAAGAAGTTATGACCAATCGAAAATCCGCGACAAAACCAGCAAAACACTGTTCAGTGTAAAAACTGAATTTTCGATAAAAGGCTTTTTAGCCTTAACAATCTAAATGAAAGTTGTAGTTTATGTTAAACCGAGAACTTTCATAAAAAGAACGGAAAAATCTGACTTCGTATGAGGAAGTTATGATTTTTCTAAGTTTCGGTATAACAGTGTATAGCTAAAAACTCGAAATAAAGATCGAGCGATTTTTAGCCGACACAACCTAAACGAGAATTGAATATCTCGTCGGTAGTAGTACAACGGTAAAAAGACAGACAAAAACGGACGTCGTATGAAGAAGTTATGAATTTATAACGGATTCCCGTCCCGGTCTGTTTAAAATAATAATATTAAAAATAAAGTCAAAATTAGCCGACAAAGTCTAAACGAAAGTCGTAGAGTATGATTTTACC